AGAGAGAGCGGAGAGCTAGATGGAGAGTGAGAGAGAGAGAGAGCAATATTTAAATGGCTAGTCCTCTCTCTCTAACTTTGACACTATCTCTGCCGCGCTCTCTCTCTCTCTCCCACTAACTCTAACTAACTAGCTGTAAGTCTACCTCTTCCTTACTCAATCTACCTCTCTCTTTCTTTCTCTCTCTCTCTCTCTCTCTCTTGATCAATCAACCTCTCTTTTCCTCTCTCTCTCTCGATCAATCAACCCCTCTCTATCTCTCTCTTTCGATCAACCTCTCTCTATCTCTCTCGATCAACCTCTCTCTCTCTCTCTCGATCAACCTCTCTCTATCTCTTTCTTTCGCGATTAACCTCTCTCTATCTCTCTCGATTAACCTCTCTCTATCTCTCTCTCTCTCTCTAGCTACCTATAAAAAGAGGCCCTTCTGCCGCCGCAGCCTCAGTCAGTGCGCGACCTCCCCCCGTGTTTTTCTGTGACGTGTTCATCCCAAGCCACCTGGCTGACTCGCTTCACCGGAAAAAGTGCAAGTTCATATTATATTGATGCAAAAACAACAAAAATATCTGCAATCGAAGTAATCAATCTCAACCAACTCTGCAGAGTAAAGATGAAAAGCAACAAAGTATTCTTTACTGCAGGTAAGTCCAAGCCAAAACCATTATTCTATATACATAAAGCTGCCTTAGCAGCGGTCGGGTTTAGAAAACTTGGCTTAAAACAAAGCTAACTGCGGGAAAGCTAGCTGCAAGGGTATATAAACTTCGGCTTGCCGAACTTGGCTTGTTTTTTAATATTATATATTTAGATCCTTAATTATTCGCCTTTTATATAATTCATAAAAATATTTTGAAAATATTTGTAACCATTTTTCGAACTCATCTGACCACCCTCGTCCATGGCTAGGAGTGTAAAATTTTCTCCTGGTACTCTTTTCCACCTACTGTTACCCCTCAGTTTTCTCCCCCTCTGTCTTGCCATCCATCCAGTTTGGTGGAACTTTTCGCACTTGGCACTAAATTTTCAGCTGCTTTTGTGTTATGACAATTATAATTGTGCTTTTGCATATGTGCGAGTGTGTGCGTGTGTGCGGAGAGCGCTCTTGGCAGGAAGTATTTACGTGGGAAATTGTAACAAATGTTTTCTGTGGTCCTTCGATGTGTGTCTGTCTGTGTTCTAGGTGTGTGCATGTGTGTGTGTGTGTGTGTGTGTGTGTGTGTGTGTGTGTGTGTGTAGCCTTGTTGCACTTTTCCACCAACAAAAGGTAGTAACTGTAAACTGAAAACCAACGGCAGTGAAACTAAAATAGTAAAATTAAATTACATGTAGGTCTGTGGACGTGGGTCTAAAAGGATTTACAACTCAGGTTGAGATTTTGAGGTTTCTGATTTTGTTTTTAATATTATTGAATATTATTTGGAAATTAAATAAATATGAATAAGTATATATAAATATAAAAAATATATTTAAATATATAAAATATATAAAAATATATAAAATATATGTAAATATATGTTATACATTTTTTAAAATTATTTTTAAACAATTTATGAGTTAAAATCTTATTAAACAGAGCTTAAACAGTTTTTATTTGACTTTTAAATATTTTCAAAAATTATTTTTCGTATATATTTATTTTTATTTTCTTAAACCCTTAAAATTTAATTTTGTAGTATTTATTTCTTTATTTTAAATATATTTTTCTTTCGAAATTTATTTATGATTTTTTATTTATTTTTATTAATTTTAATAACAAATAAAATAGCATTGTTTAAGTAAGAAATCTAGAGAAATAAATATCATAAAATTATATTAATATTAAAACTAATATTTATATTTAAATAAAATAAATTTTAAATATTTTTTAATAATTCATTTTCCCATATATTTATTTGTATTGTCTTAAAATCTTAAAATTCGAATTTCGTAGAATTTCTGAATTTCTTTTAATCAAAAAAATATATTTATTTAATTTCATATATTTATTTTTTGAGCCACATTAAAATTTCTATTTTAAATTCCTATTTTCTTGCCCCCAACTATGTGCTCTTGCATGTGCGTGTGCTATTTCGGGGGTTGTCTTAAATAGTCATAGACTGTTAGACAACAAACAATGCGCTGCTGCTGCTGCTGCTTCCACACGTCTTCTTCTCCATTTTTGGGGCCAAAAGTTTTTTTCCTTAGCCCCGAAAAAGGGGGAAAAGTGGGTGGAGGGGGGCGGGGTCCATGCGTGGTGGGCGTGTCCCTTGGTAAAGTTGCAGCCGAAATGAAATATGTTCGGTGGCACGGCGAGAAATCTCATCCATGGAGAAAGGGGACGGAGACGACGAGGAGAGAGAGAGAGCGAGAGACAAAAAGCCTTGGCAGGAAGTTTTGGCTACGGAAATTTATAAGATTTATGTTTAATTGTTGTTTTTGGCTTTTGCGGCAGCTGCCGCGTGTCTTTGCCTTGCCCCTTTTCTCTCTGTGTGTGTGTGTTTTTTTGGGGAAAAACAAATTAATTAGTGAAATTAAATGGCAGACGACGGCAAATGACAAGTTTGGGCAATTAAAAAAATATATGTATTTATTATATTTAGCGTTGCCACAAAGCTAAGCAGCTAAGCTAATCACTAAATAATATAAGAAATAATTTTAAAAATATATAAATAATACAAAAATTATAAATAAATAAATTATTAATATTTATTTAAATAAAAATATGAATTGAGCTTAACTAAAGATATAAAAATCAAATAAATATATATAAAAAAATTACATAATTATTTTTGTTTACCATAAAAACGCATAAACAATATTTTTTTTTTATTAAAAATCTTTAACAATGTTTTAATAAATTTTATTTTTTATTTTTTTGAAGCTTCTTTAGGCTGAGAAATTAATTTCTTATTTATTTATCCCAAAAAATTCCGTTATTTAATATTATTATTTAATAAAAAAAGCTTTTAATATTTTTTTAAATTATAAAAATACCTAAATTTTTTTAGTTATTCATTTTAAATGTTAAACAAAAGCCTTTTATTATTTATTTACATTTTTTAAATATTTGGTATTATATTCTTTATTATTTTTCTTAACTTTTAGAGGTTAAGGAATTAATTTCTTATATTATTTAACCTTAAAAAAAATTATTTTAAATTATAATATAATCTCCAGGTAAAGCTTTAATATTTAGGAATTTTTATACATTTTATTTGTGGGCAACATTTATACAAAACAACAAAACTTCAAATGACAATTGATAATTTTAGGGCAACCTCAAGACTTGGGTCAACAACAAGGATATATATATATATTTATATATACTTGTGCCATAAATTACCAATTACAAATTGTTTGGAAGACAATGACGCTGGCATATCGAATACCAAAACTGCGGCAATGCAATTATAAATGCATTTGTCAAATATTGAAACAAAAATGAGAGATTGTAGAGTGCGGTTCTTGCTGGCTGAGCAATTAATGCCAATAATGCAATGAATACTTACAACTAATCCCAAGGACACTACACTGCAAAAGTAAACACTCTTTTGGGTATTTTAATATATATTTTTTTTTTTAAGATTTCCACCTTTTCAAATTTTCTAATCCTGCAATAATTCCTAGAAATATATATACAAGCCACTTGAAATCGTGCCAAGCATAAAAGTATATTTTTGGCTTAAGATGCTGTCCCAAAAGACTTGACTAGATTTCCGTTGCGTGCACTTTTGCGGCCAGGCATTCCATTTTCCATTTACCATTTTCCCTTTTGGTATATGGTAATGGAGCTGCTGCTGCTGCTGCTGGCTAGGAACAAATCCTGGCCACAGAAGCCATGACCGCACTTTTAATCAAAGTGAAAACTATGAAAATTTATAAAATAATTCTTGTAAACGTGAACCTAAACGTAAACGAGCTGAGGGAAAAGCATGGAAAAACCGAATTTCGGCAAGGACCTGTCACTGCCGCCTGCAGTTTTCCCCCAGTTTTCCCAGCAGCACTCAAAAAAAGGGCAGCAGCAGCAGGAGTAGCAGGATCAGCAGCCGCCGCACCACCCAAAAACCAAACATTCTCTGATACAAGGACCTCTCGCTATGTTTGTGTTTGTGTTTGGGATTTTCGGTTGGCCTTCGCTCGAGAATATTTGCATGATATATGCAGTTATAATAAACCACAAGAGCTGCTAAAGCAACACAAGGAGAGAGCAACGATGCTGAGGACAACCCAGCAGGATGCAGGGACCCAGCCAGCACAAGGAGCAAACAAATGCCAATGTGTGCAACGGTGCGTATGAAGGCCAGTGGGCCCCACCGATCAAAATAATGCAGCATGTATATAGATTAACCTTAGTGCATTATTTACCCGAAAATTATATTAAATAAATAAATACTTTCTTAAAATCTGATAAATGAAATAAATTATAAACCAAATAAACGAAACGTTATAAATATTCATAGAAAATCTAGGGTGGCTAAGACTCCCCTACAACCCTAGAAAGTTTCTGTAAAAATCATCGCAAAAACAACGAAAAAGCATTCCTTAAACTGTGACAAGTGCCGTCTCTAAAAAACGTCGCAAACAATACAATTTTTCTTTTGCTAAAGATTTTGTGAGTGAATAGGGATAATTCATATAATTATCAAGGAATTATAGGGCGTTTGAAAGCAAATCCTCAGGGAATGGATAGTTCTTGGTCGACTCAAGCCAAGCCAGGAGAATTTCAAGCGGACGAAGCACCAGTTTTGATCTGGATTTTCGCCAAAGCGTATGATTATTATTATTATAATCCCTCTTAGAAATCAGGTGAGTTTTGTACACGTTTTTATTCGATTTTATTTTATTATAAATTTATTTATATTTATTATTTCATTTTATTTATTGAATTTGGTATTTTTTACCAACCACAAGTGGGCCTTGCCTTTTAAGTCGAAAAACGTAAATAAAGAAAATTTGTAAACATAAAAAAAAGATTTTAAATATTTATTAAATAATTTTAACGCGTATTTGTGATCCCCGTGATGGATAACATCCTCTTTGAGTTCATTGGTGACCACGCGGACAATGTTGATGTTTATGAGGAGACATATGCACGGCCCCAGGTGAGTTCTGCTGCAGACCGACCTGCCCTTCTCTTACCTAACTCATATTATGTTTGTGCCAGGCAGAGGTGGAGCCCACAGACACTGGCACCACCACCGTTGACTTAGAGTTGGGAACCAAATTTGATATTTTGGAGAGCAACGAACCGAAAAGTCCTGGGAAAAATCCTGCGGATAGTCCATTAATAAGTTTCCTGCCTGAGATTTCTGACCATCAGCTGATTGAGAGTCCTATGGACACAGAGGACACACAAATGGATTTAAACGTAAGCGGAAGTCATTAGAAAATTTTAAATAATTTTCTTTGCACTTTAAGAGATAAATCAAAGCCCAAATTAATCCGATAAAAATACATATATATAAAATTTGTTTTTATCTTTGCAGGAATTGCAATGCCAGTCTAAGAACCTAAGCCTCCCGTCCTTGGAAAACAAAGAGGAGATCTCCTCAGCCCAAGAATTCCAGCCCATGGAGATTACTACCCAGCCAACCGATGTATCCGTTTCAGAGACAGCAGATTGCGAAGCTGCAAGTATTCCAAATAATGATCAGCAACCAGTAGTCAAGGGGAAAAAAGAAGAGAAAAAGCGGAAGAAAGCCAAAGAACAGATTGTGTCCAGTAAAACCCCATTGCCCTCTATTACATTTTTATCACCAGTGAGGGATACAACACCAACAACACCAAAAACACCAACACTGACATCACCATTGCCCTCCATTACATTTCTATCCCCCATGAGTGACCCAACAATAACAACAATACCTAAAACACCAACACCATCATCACCACTAACAACTTGGCCAACAACACCAAAAACCCCATTGCCTTCTATTACATTTTTATCACCAGTGAAGAACACAACTCCAAAAACACCAACACTGACATCACCATTGCCCTCCATTACATTTCTTTCCCCCATGAGTGACCCAACAATAACAACAATACCTAAAACACCAAGACCATCATCACCAATAACAACTTGGCCAACAACACCAAAAACCCCATTGCCTTCTATTACATTTTTATCACCAGTGAAGGACACAACTCCAAAAACACCAACACTGACATCACCATTACCTTCTATTACATTTTTATCCCCCATGAGTGACCCAACAATAACAACAATACCTAAAACACCAAGACCATCATCACCAATAACAACTTGGCCAACAACACCAAAAACCCCATTGCCTTCTATTACATTTTTATCACCAGTGAAGAACACAACTCCAAAAACACCAACACTGACATCACCATTGCCCTCCATTACATTTCTATCCCCCATGAGTGACCCAACAATAACAATACCTAAAACACCAACACCATCATCACCACTAACAACTTGGCCAACAACACCAAAAACCCCAATGCCTTCTATTACATTTTTATCACCAGTGAAGGACACAACTCCAAAAACACCAACACTGACATCACCATTGCCCTCCATTACATTTCTATCCCCCATGAGTGACCCAACAATAACAACAATACCTAAAACACCAAGACCATCATCACCAATAACAACTTGGCCAACAACACCAACAACATTTTTATCACCAGTGAAGGACACAACACCAAAAACACCAACACTGACATCACCATTGCCCTCCATTACATTTCTATCCCCCATGAGTGATCCAACAATAACAACAATACCTAAAACACCAAGACCATCATCACCAATAACAACTTGGCCAACAACACCAACAACATTTTTATCACCAGTGAAGGACACAACACCAAAAACACCAACACTGACATCACCATTGCCCTCTATTACATTTCTATCCCCCATGAGGGATACAACACCAACACCAACAATACCAAAAACACCAACACCAACATCATCATTGCCTTCAATTACATTTTTATCGCCAAGATTATCCTCGTTACCATCCATTACATTTTTATCACCGATGAGGGACTCAATGCCTTCACCAACAAAAACTAGGCCTTCAACACAAACAACACCATTGCCTTCGATTACATTTTTATCATCGATAAAGAATACAATACCAACGGAAACAATCACACCAACAGCACCAACACCACCTCCTCTACCACCACCATATAAAATACCAAAGGCAGTTGTCCGGGTCAAATGTATCAAAACCTCCTCCATTGCCAAGGTATACGCCTTGATGCTACGCTGTTGGGGCAGGCATGAAACTCCTACGGCCAAAATTCCAATCCCTCAGATAAAGGGAAAGGACTCCGAAGCCAAGGAAGAAGCTAATAAATATTTGAGTCTTCCGGTGAGACCGAAGAATCGATTGCTAAGAAGACGCAATTCAAAATGGCAAGGCCGCCCGATTCCCCTACTGACTCCAGTACTTCCCTTGGAGATATGCATTGGATATCAATTAATTAGTTATATCTTACAGTTTTTCAGTGGTGCGATTACACGTCTCGAGGATAGGCCAGTATCTCCATACCGATCGTCGTCCTTGTCGCCCACGGCCACATCGTCCTCATCGTCTTCATCGTCCACATCGTCTTCATCGTCCATGGATTCCTCGAATACTTCCGACAGCTCGGATTCCTCGGATACCTCGGATTCCTCGGATACCTCGGATACCCCAATTGCCGCGGATGACGGGAATCCTGTGGATGCTAAGGATACCCAGGATTTAATGGAGGAACAGGATATCGAGGAAGACGAGGAATTTGAGGATGTCAAGGAAGCCAAGGCTGCTAACAGAGTCACTTTCTCGGAGAATCAATATATTCGCTGGTATGTAAAGGGGTCCAGGATTGCCAAGAATATGGAGGATGCCAGTGAATTTGCGGCTTCCAGGGCTGACGTGCACGACGGGGAATTCCCTCGTATCCTCAAGAGAGGTAATAGATTCGGAGTGGGCGAGGAAGCCCAGGTTGTCCATAAAACCAGATACGCTGAGAATGACGGGGCTGTCGGCTACCCAAAAAGAACCAAGTTTGAAAGGATTAACGAGGAAACCAATAATATCGAGAATATCCCTGACATCTCCATGGATGTGAAGGTTCCCGAAGAAGAAGAGGATTCCGAAGATGGCGAGGATGCCGCCGATGACCAAGATGTCGATTATGCGGAGTATTTCAAGAATGCCAAGTTCGAGGAAGATTCCGGGGACTCTGCAGATTCCCAGGATTCCGGAGATACGGCAGATGACGAGGATGAAGATGATGACGAGGATGAAGATGACCCATACGGTTTGAAGGCCTCGCTTGCTTCGGGATCTTTGTTTGCTTCGGAAGAAACAGATGTTTCAGAAGACTCATCTCGTTTCGATGCTTCAGGACTTCCTCAGCTAACCGATTCTTCAGGATCCCCACAGCCTGCCGATTCTTCATATGCCCCATTTTGGAGTAGCTATCCATCGCTATTAAATCAGGATCAGGAATCCACACTATCGCATTCATCATCTGATGAGGATGACGATTCTCTACCAGACTTATCAGAAAACTTTTCAGAAGAACTTAACGAAAGACCGACAAGTACAAAGAATAAACTAGAGAAAAGCTGGAAATTCCCGCCACCGATATTATCCGAAAGCTCCACCGATTCGGAGTCGGAGGAGCGGCCTTGTAAACTAATAAAAATTTACGAGAATGAGGAAGCTCCGATCGAGGGTAACGACGAAATGGAAGCGAAGCCAAAAGAAAAAATTATATGTTACGTTCCTGCATGGGTTTTGAAAATGCCAAGCGTGAGTGATGTTTTTTTTTTTTTTGGAAATATGATGACATAATTGCAATTTATGATTTCCCTTTATATTATATATATATATATATAACATATTTTCAGGCACCTTCAGTAAAGGAAGACTCAGATGAAGACGAAGATTGTGAAGACAATTTTCAAGATTCTGAAGAGGATTCTGAAAAGGATTCTGAAGAGGATTCTGAAGAGAATTCTGAAAAGGATTCTGAAGAGAATTCTGAAAAGGATTCTGAAAAGGATTCTGAAGAGGATTCTGAAGAGAATTCTGAAAAGGATTCTGAAGAGGATTCTGAAAAGGATTCTGAAGAGGATTATGTAGAGTATGCTACGGAGGATTCTGAAGAGGAATATATAGAGGACTCTGCGGAGGATACTGGAGTGGATATTACAGAGAATATTGCAGAGAAAATTACTAAGGATATTTTAAAGGGTATTTTAGATGATATTCCATATGATATTCCGGAGAATATTCCAGAGGATATTGCAGAGAATATTGCAGAGAATATTGCAGAGAAAATTACCGAGAATATTACAGATGATATTACAGAGGATATTACTGGAAAAATTGCAGAGAAAATTACAGAGGATATTTCAGATGATATCACAGAAAATATTATAGAAAATATAACAAAGGGTATTACAGAAGATATAACAGAGGAAATTTCAGAGGATATTACAGAGGATATCACAGAGAAAATTACCGAAAATATAACAGAGGATATTACAGAGAATATTCCAGATGATATCACAGAGAATATTGCAAAAGATGTAACAAAGGGTATTACAGAGGATATTACAAATGATATTACGGAGGATATTACTGGTAAAATTGTAGAGAAAATTACAGAGAAAATTGCAGAGGATATTTCAGATGATATCACAGAGAATATTGCAGAAGATATAATAAAGAATATTAAAAAGGATGTTACAGAGGACATTACTGAAAATTTTGCGGAGAAAAATACAGATGATGTCACAGAGAACATTAACGAAGATATAAAGGATATTACAGAAAATATTACAGAGAATATTGCACAGAATTTTACTAAAGATATTACAGAAAATTCTAAAGGAAATTGTGAAGAGAATTGTGAAGAGAATTGTATGGAGAATTGCTTGGAGAATTCTTTGGAGAATTGTGAAGAGGATACTGAAAAGAACAACCTGCCCAAAAAGGATATTCCAGATCCCAAGGAGACTGAAGAAAAGGTAAGTAAATAATAGTTAATTTTTCTGCAGATAAAATAAATGATTGTAACTTAAATTTATTTAAAATCCTATAAATTAAATAAAGAATATTTCTTTTCCTTAGACCTCCTCACCCCGCAGAAACCGTGAAAGTATCATTCGCTGCGCATTCGATGGTCGCAAATACAGGACTCTAAAGGATCTAAGGAAGCGCACAAAGCTGTCGAAGAGGAGCATCCGCAAGGTCCTAAAGCGGATTGGAAAGATCAAGCGCCGAAAGTGGCGTATCAGCATGTTTTATTTACAGGCCTACGATTTAGAGGAGTTAAGACAGCCAATGTCCAGCAATCCGAAACCGGTTAGTTAGTTTTATAAATATTTAAATATTTTTAGAGATAATAATATAATCAGTACTCGCAGGTGGAACTGAACGATGTCTTTAGGACGGTAATTCGCAGCTACCAGAAGGTCAAGTTCCAACGCATGGAGGAGCTGGTGAAGAAGACTGGTCTCGACGAACAGCAACTGGCCAAGGCCCTGAAGATGATCGGTCGCAAGCGATCCACCAAGTGGCGTCTGCTCAACTACAAGAAACCACTGACACACATTCACCGGGGCCACAAAAGGGTCAGGGATTAAACTAAAACTTGTTCTGTTATCCTCTTTATAATTACAATAATATTAAATACACTTTAAAATATAAATTTAGGTAAAATTTCAATTAAAATTAGCCATGGTTTTAAATGTTTTAGCTTGTTTTCGTGTTTTCTTGGAGTTTTTTTTTTGCCTAAAAATGGAAATTTAAAACAATGTTGAAAATTTTGAAAGTATTAGAAATATTTAGAAAAAATTTAAAATATTTATAACGCATTTTAAAATATTTAAAAAATATTTGAAATATTTATAACACATTTTTAAATACTTAGAAAATATTTAAAATATTTACAACTCATTTTTAAATATTTAGAACTCGTGTTAATATATTAAAAAAATATAAGAGGCGCTTTAAAATATTTAGAAAACAATTTAAAATATTCGAAAAGCATTTAAATTATTTAAAATATTAAGAAAACAATTTATGAAAGTATTTAAAATATTTAGAACCCATTTAATATTTAAAGTATTTTGAAAGCATTTAAATTATTTAAAATATTAAGAAAACATTTTTAAATATATTTAGAAGATATTTATAATATTTGAACACATTTAAAAATATTTTAGAAATATTAAAACAATTATCTAAAATATTTCTATATAATTTTTAAATATTTTAAGCACATGTTAAAGTATTTTAAAGAATTTTTGATATGAGAAATATTTAAAATATCAAGAAAACAATTTAAAATATATTTTAAAACTATTTAAAAGAGTTTAAAGACATTTTAAATTGTTTAATATACTTTTTTATATATTTTAAAAATATTAAAACTATTTAAAATGTATAGAAAACATTTTAAAATATTTAAACACGACTGAAACTATATATTATATACTTTATAATTAATAATAATAATAATTTTAATATTTAATTATAATTATAAACCCAAGAGAACTAGGCTACGATTCTCAGAAACTGTAAACTAAATTCGTAGATCTCCTCTATCCTTGACCCATATGTTTTTAAAACTGTCAGGTTCAAACATATTTTACTCACAGAGTATCAGTATAGCTTCAGCTGTCGCATCAAAAACATCAAACCCCGAGTAAATATCTTAAAAAAAAATTTGTTTCATTTAAATTCAAAGAGAAACAAAAACTATAGCTAATAAAATGGATGACAAGGATTTGCAGAAACACTATGAGCGCGTTATGCGCGACTTGCAGAAGGAAAGGCTTTTGACCTTTGAGGAGATGTTGGAAATTACCAAGATCCCACCGGAGATTCTCAAGAGAACCATTGCTGTCCTGGCACCTGGTCTTTGCTGTTACCAGAAGCTAAAGGCCGAGCAGGAAGAGGAGGAGGAGGAGAATTTCGATGAGCACTGGACTGTGCAGGATATGCAGGATATAGCGGATTTCGAGGAGAAGCGGCAGCGGGTTATGGATAAATATCACAAGAAGGCTAAAAAGGAAGTTAAGAATATGAGAAACAAGGAAAATATTATTAAAGATAAAAGCCAGCATGAAGAGTTTGATGATGTGAGTATTTTTATATATTTTTTTTATATATTTATTTATATATTTTATATATTTATATATATATTTTATATATTTATATATATATTTTTTATATTTATATATATATTTTATATATTTATATATATATTTTATATATTTATATATATTTTTTATATATTTATATATATTTAGAATCCCAATTTCGAGAGAGACCAAGAGATTGTCAGCTTCGAGGACCTGGTGAAGCTCACATTCACCCATCCCTTTTACCTGGAGAGATGTCTGTGCCACCTGGCTATATTGGCCGAAACTGAAGAAGGAAAACCCGAGGAAAATTTCAATGATGAAGATGAAAACATGTAACCAGAATTTTGGTTTATGTTTTCTTATTTGATATTATATAATGGAGATTTTCAATATCTGTTTTTTGTTTCCATTTTTTTGTGGATTTTATTTTTTTTAGATTTTTTTAAGGTTTTTTTTTTATATTTTTTTTAGATTTTTATTTTTGAGCTTTTGCTGTTTCTTTTGGTAATTTGGCAACTGCAATTTGGTTTTGTCTTTGTTGCTTATTTTGTTTTCTTGTTCTGTGGATTTTCCAGCAATTGTTGTGTGTGTGCAGGCAAGAGTGTGTGTGTGAGTGTTTGTGTGTGTGTGTTGATGTTTTCTATGCGCTGGCAATTAATTGCTTTCAAATCCTTTTATCCAACAGATTTGGTCAATTTATTTTGTGCAGTTATTTTGCCTTTTTTGTTGTACAATGTCCATGTACATGTGTAGGTATGTTTGTATATGTTTACTTTTTTTTTTTTTTTTTTGGTTGCAGACATGCCACACTCACACACACATACACTCACAGAGAGTACATACATAAGTGTGCGCTTGTTCGGTCTGAATTTATTATATGTTTAGTTTATTGTTTTTTAATGGCGCTTAGTTTCAATTTGAGCAGAGCAATAAATTACACATTACTGACTGCCCCTCGTCCTTTTTCTGTTTTTTTTTTTTTGTGTGTGTGTGTGTGTTGGTCCTTTTTTTTTGTGTCCATGTGTGTGAGCGTTCGAGTGTGCGGCGAGGGCAAGCGCTTTAATGAGGCCAAAGGAGTCGATCCTGGGGCTTGATACTCGATTGATGCCACTGGCCACTGGGGCAGACAGTTGACCTTTGCGGCGAGTTCAGCGACAAGACAAAAAAAAAACAAGGTAAGATCTGAAAAAAACATACTATACATCAGAAGTTTACTATATTTTCGGTTATAATTTTAATCAGAAGCTTGGTAGTCAGTCAAGAAGTCATTTCCGACCCTATAAATTATATATATTCTTGATCAGCATCAACAGGCGAATCGTTTTAGCCATGTTTGGAGAGAATCTAATTTTTTTGAGATTTTTTTTAAATTTTTTAGGGGTTACATAGTTAAAATTGTCTCAAAATTTTAACAAAATTTAAATTTGCTTAAGACGTTAAATTAAGTATGCAGATTTATTAAGCTAGGAAAAACTAACATAAAACCGTTTTCGGAATTAAAATTAAGGCTTTTTTGACAGAGTTATGAATTTTTTATATTTTAATTTGTAACAAAAAATTTATCAAAAATTTTAAAATGTTAAAATTTTTTATTTTTAACACTTTTTAAACTTAATTTTCTTATTTTTTAAGCTAATTTAAACTGTCAGAGAACAGTTTTCCAAATTAAAATTATGTTTTAAATTTTTAGATTTTCCCAAAAATAAAAATATACTTTATAAAAATATTAATGCAAGGGTAGACAAACTTCGGTTTACCGAAGTTAATTTCTTTACTTATTTTAGTTTTATTATAATTTTAAGATATTTTTTAAGTATTTCATTTTAGTATTTGTATATCTTTAATCTTATATATTTAATATATAATTTAATATTTAATTTATATAATATTTATTTAAATTTATTTATATATTTAATATATTTTTTTATTTATTTTATATTTAATTTTCTTTTTTAAAGAAAAGAAACTCTAGCTTTTTAGCGTTTCAATTATCTTTTCTCTTTTGCTGAGCAAATTTGCTAAAAAGTTTGTCCCTGAAAAAAATGCAGCAGAATTTTTAAGGCAAAACTGCAGTGCTGAAACAGAAAAAAAAACTATATAAAATGAAAATAATAAAGAAAGAAAGAAAAATAAAACAAACGAAATGCGAACTGCGACTGCAGACTGTAATAATTTGCGCAACAAAAGGGCGCACCTCAACTTGACAGCACCGGAAGTTGTCCCCACTTAGCCGGGACGGGAAGCCCCTTTAAGCCCCTCCCTCCCCCCTCTCTCACTCTCGCTCTGTACAGCCTTAACCCTCTTTCCCTATAGCCTTAACCCTCTACTTGGTGGCTCCTCTTCCTGCACAAAACCCTAAATGAATGGTCCGCAAATTCACGGCAAATTAAATGAAATGCGCAAATTAAACGCAAAAAAAAGTATATATATATAAAACTGTAGAAAACAGGACAAAGTGTAACAAATATTGCATAATATTATTGCATGCTCTTGGGGGCGCCACTTGAGCAACGTTTAAAGCGAACGAAAATGCGGAAGCAATTCACTTTTTTTTTCGGCTTTCAGCTTTTGGCTGCTGCTCATTTAGTATTTTTTGTCTATCCTGTATTCTCTTTTTCTCCTTTTTATTTTCTTCTATGTTTTAATATTTATATCAGGGCAGCAGCTTTGGTTCATCCTTGTCGTTGTCAACGTCATCATCCGCATTCACATTCACATCCTTGTCCAAGTGCGCGTCCAGGGAGCTGCAGCTGCTGCGGCCAGCTCTCTTGATGATGCACTGAAAGAAAAATAAGAGGGGGAATTAAAAAAAAAGGGAAAGAAAGTATATATATTTATTAATATATTAATTTTTAATATTAGTATAAAAATAATTGAAGCAAAAAAATCTAATAAAAAATTTAGATTAAATTTAATTTGTAAATATTTATACTAATTGTACTTTTATTAATTTAAAATGTATAATAAAAAATTAAAAAATTATTAATAGAAATTATTAAAATCACAAGGAGAGCTCTTGATCATGCACTGAAAGAAAAATTATAATATTAAAAAAAAAAAAAAAGAAAATATGCTTAACAAAAATAGTTTTCATATATATTTATCAATATATTAAATTTTAATATTTATGATTAAAAACTAAAATATATTAGATTAAATAAATATATTAAATTTTAAATACAAAACAAACATTTTTATAAATATTTTTTACATTTTTATAAATATTTTTTAAATTATAACAGAAATTTTTAGATATCTATAATCTACCCATATTTTCTCTCAATGTGCTTGGCCAGCAATTTTGCATGCTTAGCGTCTCTTTCGTTCCTCTTCTTTTCTCCATTCCCCTTCCGTTTCTTTCCGTTTCGTTCCAATCCGTTTGGTTTCGCCTCTTTGGCGCGACTTGGTTTTTCTTATTTTCTTTATTTTTTTTCTGTTTTTTTTTTGTGTGCTAATTACCATAATTAAGCAAAGGTCAGGCTTTAGTCGCCTTTTGTGGCCAGGATAGGCGAAATAATAATGAGCGAAAGACAGGGGAAAATGGCGCCAGAAGTGGGAGATATGAAGGAGCACAAAGAAAGGAGAAAGAAAAAGAAAATATGGCTGACCAGTGTACAAATTCTCCCCTCTGTGTTCTGTTATGCATTATCTTTATGATTATGTTGATTATGACGTTTTAATGGGTTTAGTGAGGCGGCGACGACGACAAGGGGGGTGCACTGGTGGCCAAGGGGTGCCAAGGGTGTGGTGGGGGTGGTACTATCAGCTTAAGCTGACAACAAAAGGGCAACAAGAAAAACAAAGACTTGACAAGCTGCTGGGCCACATTAAGGAGTGAATGCAGTTTGCCCGGCTTTGGTCCTGGCTTTGGCTTCCTATTCCTTGACTGCATACCCTGTAAAATTTTGGGGAAATTGTCAAAAAAACTAAAGACATAAGCGTCTGGGTCATATTACTCAATTAGGTCGTAAACAAAAGTATTTGAGAGGAGAAAAGCTTGGATTTTTATGGGTCTAGATAAACCCGTAAAAAAGCTAGCTGGGAAATCATATAAAAAATAAGAAAACTTGGGAGACAAAGGAAAGCCTGGCAAGAGAGGGATAATTTTCTATACTTAAGAAACATTTTACTATAGTTTAAAAATATTTTTTAACTTTAATTTTAATGTTTTGTCAAACTAAAAAGAAACAGAAAGCAAAAAAGAAGCAGGTTATAAAATAAGTATTTGTTTTTATTATCATAAAAATATATTTTTATAAATACATAATTTCTTAAATATTGTAAAATTAGCTAAAAATTTTATTTTATAAATATATATATATTTTTTAAATATTTTTTTAATATTTTTATATATATTTTTTTATATATTTTTTTATATATATTTTTATATATATTTTTATATATATTTTTTTAATTTTTTGTATATATATTTTAAATATTTTTGTAATATTTTTTTTTTAATATATATTTTTTATATTTATATTTATATTTTTATTTTATTTTTATTTTATTTTTTTTTATTTAATGTTTATATAAATTATAGATTGAAAATATACTTTGGGACAGTTTGGTATTTGGTTATCGATTCTTTGTAGAATTTTATTAATTTATTTTACATTTTATAATAATTTTTAATAAATTTTAAACTTTAAAATAACATAATTTAAGTAACCAAAAATTTAGCAAATTATTCCCTACCCTTTGCCCATGCTAAAAATTAAAGCAAGACCTAAAAGTGCCTTTTTCCAGTCTAAAAAATTCATAAAAATATGTTAAAACCTGCCCTCTTACAGGGCATTCTCTGCGTCGTTTTGCATTTGCCAATCCAGCTTAATCTCAATATTTCATTTTTTATTGCCGGCACTCAAAACATTACTTTGAACTTGGTCAAATTACTTGGGGCTTGTCTGTCAGCGCTTCCCCCTGCACTTCCTCTCTCTCTCCGCCATAAATATTTTCGGTCGAGGAAAATGAAAATTCCATAGCAACTTAAGTTGAGGGAACTGCACTGTCATGACAAATACACACACAGACACACACACACAGAAGAGGACCCAGAGGGCAGGACGATGACGCGGGCGATGAGATCTTCAGGATGGCACGCACTTCCTGCCTTAACCCCCACCCCCTGCCCCTGCCGCCGCCGGATTGCTTAACTTAACCCCCACGAATGGCGGTGATTAACGATCGCGGCACACGGCGGAAAAGATGAAAGTTGTAGGAGGAGGAGGAGGAACTATTATTATAACATGGAGAGGGACTCACTTTGCTGTAAGTTCCACCTCCATAGTGAGTTTTCCCCCTTGAGGGCCTGCGGCATTCCAAAGCCAAGAAAAACATTTTCATTCCAAGGCGTTTTTCCGGCGGCGAACGAACGGCAGTTGTTTGAACT